GGCTTCCGGGTTTAGGGTTTCGGGTTTAGGGTTTAGGGGTTTAGGCTTTATTTAGGCTTTAGGGGTTTAGGGTTTAGGGCTTAAAAGGGGTAAGGGGTTACGATATTTTTTTATCTAAAGACTCTCATGTCCAGGCTTTTGGGCCCAAAGACCAGGCTATAGAAGCTCTGGGTTACTCCCAGTGTTCCTCAAGATTTTCGATCAGACTTCCGAGTTTTTGGTGTGTTCTTTAAGGTCTTGAAGGGTGCCATAAGGATGAACTTAAGGATATCATGATGAGTCGTTTTCGGAGTGCATGCTGACCTTCTTTGCAGGTTCTGTATATAGTGACCGGGCGCATAAGATTACTTGCCCATAGGGAACTTAGTAAGTAGAGTTTTAAGTAGAGTTATAAGTACCCTAAATCGAGTTACCCCCCAATATAACTGTACTTACAACCGACTTACTAAGTCCCCTGGGCCTCAAAGTGCAGAAGCGGAAGTGCAGCGCGAGCCCCGGCAGATCTTCAAAGATGTAGCCGAGGTCATGTCCTCGCAGCGGGACGGTTTCGGGTTTGGGGTTTAGGGTCAGGACACTCTAAAGGATGTCCACAAAGCGCAGTAGGGCCTCATCCTGTCCGCAAGTTCCCGAATATAAAACCTGCTTGGCATCCTAGGAAAGAGAAGAAATCAGTTCCTCCACCCGAAACCCTAAACTCTACTTTCTGAACCCCCCTACCCCAAGGCACTATCCCTTACTGTTCCTTGTTTTATGGCATATGTATACCATCCTATACCGCTAAGCTAAACCTTGTTAGGAACCTTCTACAGGAATCCGTTAAAAGGGACCCCATTTTAGACAACCAGGCTTTTAAAGCAGCGTCTTCCGACCCAGGTGTTGTCTGGAGCAGCGTTTTGCCACGAGCGCGGCATTCTTCACCGCGATTTGCCACTTGGGAGCTTCCGAAAATTAGGCCTTATTTTGGGGGTCCGTATAATAAGGATCCTACTAGTTAAGGTATTAAATTAGGGTCCCCTATTTTCGGAAACCCTTACTTGTCTTAGCAGCACGAAGTCCCTGCATGCCCAGGGGCGCCATGAATGGCCCTTGCAGCTTCGACACACGTGGTTAAGCATCTGTACTCATGTATGCATGTATGTCATGTATACTTACAATCGTGTCTGTCTATGTATTTGTGTATGCATCTATTCGTGTAGCTTTAATTCTAACCATTGCATGTCTGCAAAATATACATATGCATGCATGCATTCACGTATGTATGTATGTATGTATGTATGTATGTATGTATGTATGTATGTATGTTTCTACCCATGTATGTCTGGCTGGATGGATTAAGGCGAAGCCACAAGCATTAAGCCTTAAGCCCTAAACCTCAAAGTGAATGTCGTCGAGGAAGCCCGGCAACATCATGTTGGTGTGCGCGGATTTGCACGAGCAGCTTCTGGTTTTGCAACCATCTAGGGCTTAGGGCTCACAGTGTCTAGGGTTTAAGGTTTATAAGGTGTGGGGCTTAGGCCGTCAGTAGCATCGCTATGACTAGCATCAGCCGCAGCATCTTCATCTCACTCATCATCATCATCATCATCATCATCGCCCACAGCAGCCATATCACATCACCATCGTCATCGTCAGAAACAGCATGGTCATCCACAGGATCCAGAGTAGACATGCCCTGGGTTGGCATCCGAGACCGTAAGCCCTGCCAACACCAAAACCCTAAGCCCAAACCCTGCACCTTGTTTAAGCCGCAGGCGCTGAAAACCTTACGCCCTACATACAACCCTAAACTCTAGACCGTAAGAGTTTCTAACTTAGGAATTCCTCCTTGGGGAAGCTGTAACTAGACCGAAAAGGGTTTAGGGCTTTGGGGTTAGGGTTTAGTAGGGTACAGGAACGAGCTGTTTTCGGGTCGGGGTTCAGTGTTAAGGGTTTAGGCTTGTTTTTTTGGGTTTTGTGTTGAGGGTTTGGGATTTAGGGTTTGGTGTTTAGGTTAGGGATCACGGTTAAGGCTTATAACTATAGGGTTCAGCGTTTAGAGATTATGGCTGCCGCAAAGACGTGCTGAGAGCACGTGCCGCTGCCAAATCGGCTTGGCTCACTGAGCTCATGGATAGAGACTCGTAGGGTGACTTTCAGGCTATCGCGTACTTTAAGAGAAGACAGAACGTCCTCACTGTCCATAGTAACTGTGTCGCTAGAGCAGGACGGGCTGCCTAGGCTGTCCGAAGTGCTTGCTTGTGTCGTGAGGGTAGGCAAGTAGGCCAGTGTCCCCTCTCTCTCCGCCTGACATTATTGCGCCTGTCACTGGTTGCTGGTTTGTGTTGGAAGTAGTTTGATATTGTTTAACACAGGTGCCCTCGTCATCCGTGAGGTTTTCCTCTGGAAGCCGCACACCTGGCGGCAAACACTAGCCCCAGTGCCCCCTAAACCGATAATCTAAGTGGTCTAGAGACTTAGTCATAAGATCCTGTTAATAACTGCAGTAATTAGCATATATGATACCTGACCTAGCTTGCTTAAGGATGTATATAAAGATATCACAGAATGGAGCCCGAAAGTGGTAGGTCGTTGGTGCTACAGGTACACCGAAGCCCCATTCTACTTTTTCATGCCATTGAAGCGCTATACGTAAAACCCTACAGAACACACACAGAAAAAATGACAGGTAAGTCCCTCCGCCCTTCAAGCGTAAATGCGAAACGCTGTTGGCCCTGAGCCGTAACCGTCCTTCCGTCTACCAGACCATAAACCACCCACGTCCTCACGCCCAAGCCGCTAAGCCTGTGGTGACAGCTATATATCTATGTCTATATCTATGTATATATATATATATAGATATAGACATAGACATAGATATAGATATAGATATCGATAGATAGATAGCTGCAATCTCACTGTAATGTCAATTTAGAATTACCCTAGACCCGTCTAAAATCTGGGTATATATATCTATAGTCTATAGCTACAACTACAGTTGTCCCTAGAGCCGAACCCTAAACGTCCCTAGACCCATTATATATGAAACCCTGAAGCCCTATACCCTAAACCCCTAAACCCTATACCCTAAATGCTAAAATAACCCTGTACCCTGAACACTAAAACCCTAAACCCAATACCCCAAAAAAGCCTAAAGCCCTAAACCCTATACCCTAAAACCCTAAACCCCTAAAGCCCTAAGCCCTCTACCCTAAACGCTAAAATCCAGCCATCCCTGGACCCCTAAACCCTAAAGGCACGGCATCCCTGAGCCCTGAGCCCTAAACATTAGCACCCTAAACCCTAAACCCTAAACCTCCCTGAGCCCTAAACCCTGAGCCCTAGACTTCCCGACTCCCTCCAAGGAGCTTGGCCTGGCTCACCGGCTGCTGCTTGAGTCCCCAGCTGAAAGAAGGCGGCGTCGGTGCTTTCTATGGCTTTTCTTTTGTTTTGAGGCTACCCCAAGAGAGGGGCTGTAGTTCGCGCGGACGGAGTGCTTTGGGTTTAACTTGAGGTTTCTGGGTTTAAGGCGAAGCAGTCTTAATTGTTGGTTTAATTAGTGGTCTTTTTCAATGGTGTTTTTTCGGGAGTGTCAGGACTGCAAGAGCACGTAGAAGTCATTTATGGCCTAAGGGCGTGTTCTTAGGGTGGGATTTCTATACCCGATATTCCTGAGGCAGGTTGCGCAATTAATCAGAGCCTTGCCCAGCAAATTCCCAAGCAGCCTTTGGTGGGTTTTTAGGGATCAGGGTTGTTAGCCTTCCCTAAAACCCTATATTATCCCTAAGCCCTAAACAGTTTAGGGTTCAGAGCTATTGGCTTTAGGCGCAGACCCGGGATTCTGAACCTGCAGCAGCCACCTTGTTGGGAGGCTTTTTTGCGGGAGGCACAAGTTACAGAAATCTTGCATCGCCACTGCAAATCTCGAAATCCTAAGCATTAACACGCCGAGCCCCAAATCGCGCTCACAAAAGACCAACCAGTATAGCACAAAACTCTAAGCCCCCAGCCTAGCTTTTAGCCCTTAATTACGATGACTCGCCTATATAAGTCTTTGAAAATGTAGATTTGTCAGGTCCGGGGAACTGTGGGGTTGAGGTTTAGCATACTGAACCATGCTCAACCCAAGTCCCAAAAGCAGGCAGCTACAACTGCAAAATCATTGACTTCGGGCTATCTGCGACCTTTGATCCAACCGACCCCGGCGGCGGCATCACAGATGCGGCTGGTTCCGCATAGAAACTTCGACGGTCGCCCTTTACAGGTACATTTGGACCCCTATAGACCCTAGACCCTAACCTAAACGGTTACTTCGGGGCTGAGTAGGTAACCTTTAACCTTTTGGGGCTCATATAAACCTATTATAACTCAAAAGGTTAACCTTTTTTGGGCTGAGGTACTCGGCCCCTAAGGTTAAGAGATCAAGGTTCAAGAGAAAAAATCAAAACGCCGTTTCTAGACCCATGGGACTTTAGAGGCTTGCTCAGGGTCGTGTGTTTGCGTCTTTGGGCTTGTTGTCGCTGGAGTTTAGGGTTTAGGGTTTAGGGTTTATAGGGTTTAGTCTATTTTGCTTTTTTTTCTCAGAGTTGCAGTTGGTCAGCACGGGGTGGCCCCTTAACCATGAACTGCGAGCCATACAGGCAAAGGCGGTTGGAAGTCGGCATGGGCATACTGTATACTACCACACTTAGAGGGTCCTAAGATACTACGAGTTACTACCATAACGGAACTGATTAGCCCCAAACGACCATCTTAATCTTGAGTTGATGGGGGGGGTGGGGGCGGTTTCCATAATGGTTGTATGTACGGACCTACATGGGAGTTTCCGAAAATTAGGGGTTCCCTACTTTGGGGTCCTGATAACAAGGGTCCCACAATTGAGGGAACTATATTAGGGTCCCCTATTTTCGGAAACCCCCAAATGTTGAAGCCTTCACTCGTTCCCTGCGCATTATCCGGCATCCGGTACTATTTGCGAGGCCAAGGTTGCGAACTTAGGCTAAGGGTCTAATTGAATGCTACCTGTATCCCGAAAAGACTACCTTTTTTAGGTTCCAGCGTGTCAAAAATAGGTAGTTTTTTGTAATACTTGTCGGTTTCAAGGTGTTTCGCTGGGCGGGTCTGCATAGTACTGCGTGGTTGAGAATCTGGGTAAAATCACTTTCCTTTTTGAAGCTTTCGCTAGGCTGAGTATCAGAGCTTGAAACATCCGTGGCTGACATACCCTTTCAATTCCCCAAGGGTACAGTACAAGCATTGGCCTCTAAAGGTTTCTGCTATAGCTGCTTAACAGAGTTTTGTAGGTGCATGGACTCTTCGTGAAGGCCTTCTGTCGCGAAGCCCTGATCCCCAACCCAGGGTGTCTGTGTGAAAATCATGGGCCGTCATCCCAAGCTCGATCGTCTGTCTTACCCCCCCCCCCCTTCCCCCCCCGTTTAGGGCCTTTAGGGTTGAGGGTTTAGGCTTTTGAAGGACATAGACAAGTTACGGAAATCAGACTAGGGGAACCTGTCAAAGGTAGGGTTGTTTAGACTCCTGGCTCCTGCCAGTGACACGCAAGCTATGCTGCACTGGTGCCGCGTCAACCCGTTGGGAGGTTCATAATGTTTGGAGTTTGTTCTCTGATGATCCTTTCCTCACCTTCATGTATGGAGTGGAACCCTCTCAGAGCCTCAAAACTGTGTAAGCCTGAAGCCCAACACTGTTCAATCTTGGCGCCCTCCTTCGGAGCCTTTCATTCCACCACCCTTTGCTTCAATGAAGCCCAGGTAAATGGGACGCCGGCCTACATGGCACCAGAAGTCTGCAAAAGGATGGGCGACTCGGCAGCTTTCAGTTCTAGCCTTGAGGGCCTTGCCGAACAAAGGTGGTCCGTCTCACGGTTCTCGGGGTTAAAGATTCCGGCTTTAGTGTGTACCCATAGGCCCCCAAGCAGTTCCTTTTTATGGTTTATATCTAGAATCCTATAAGGTAATCCCAAAAAGGAACTACTTAGGGGCCTGTAGGTAGAGGGTAGAGTTTTGGTTTAGCGGTTTCCTGGTACAGGCTAGGCACAGGTCTCAGTCTCTAACAACTAGGACGCATGGCTCAAATTCCTAAACCCCAAGCCAGAAGCAAGCAGAAACATCAAATCAAAACACAGCAAAGGCAGGTACGCAGCAAAAGCTGATGTTTGGTCCATCGGCGTTCTCACCTACGAGCTGCTCACGGGCAGTTTACCGTTTGGCCACCAGTCGACAAGAAGGGCTCTGAGGCTAAGGGATTTCACAGGGCTCAAGTTGAAGGTTTTACTGTTGATGACATAAGTCCTGCATTACCTTGAGGACCCTAAACTATGAGAATTATGGTATATTCCTTATTATGGGTAATGCAGGATTTATATCATCAACGGTATGGGTTTCGTAGGAATTTCATAGCTAAAGAAGGGGTTTGACAGGAGCTCAGGGTTCCGTAGATTTGAGTTTTCGGGGGCTTTGGGTGTAGGACTTCAGGGCTTTCTGTTTAATGAAAGACGAGGGTTTAGGGTTTAGGGGAGGCTGCGTAAAGCTCAGTACAAAGTCTCCTGCTCCTTGAAGACCACCCTAACTAAGTAAACCCTAAAGTTTGGCCCTAAAGCCTGAACTCTGAATAGACAGACCTTACACAGATACCAATCAGCAGGTCGGGGTTAATTGTGGTTGGGGAAAGAACAATTGACAAGTATGTCCCGCTTTTGACATCGCCGTTGGGCAAGTGTTTACGATGGGTGTGTAGTGCTATCTACATTTTAGGACGTAGGGTTTGCAGCCAGTGGATGTATATATTTACCTGGCAGAATGTCGAGTAGGCATGCCAGGGCAACGTGGCCCAAGATCCCGAAGCCACAGCTCCTACTTCCGGCAGTCCTGCAATCTTAGAAATGCCAAGCCAAAACCCTGTGCTAGGGCGTAGATCTAGGACATTTTCAGGTGGGTTACCGTAAAAGGAGCCTTATAAAAGGTCTATATACCTTATAGAAGCCTTACAGAAGCCCTATATACCCTAAACTCCCCAACTGTAGTTTCTTTTAATTAGAGCAGTGTTTGGGCTCAGGCGGATGGGCTTACCTTAAGGCAACCAGCAATCACTGACGTTTGAAGCAGGAGCTTTGGCCCATTGGCAGTAAGGCTTCAGGGGTTTGAGTTGTTGAAACCCTAAACCCTAAACTCTAAACCGACTCTAAACCCTAAACCCCTAAACCCTGGTGCTTTTCTGATACGACGTGATCTGAGGAGATGCCTCCGACTATTCCGGCGGTTTCAAAGAGCTCTTCGAGATCTTTGGTGCGAGAAAGGCCGTAGTTGTAGTAGCAGGTTTATGGGGTTTAGGGTTTTTTAGGGTTTGGGGTTTAGTAGTAGTCGTCCCGGTCGCAGTCGTAGTGGTCGTAGCCTGAACCGAGTTCACGGCTGTATCACCTGCAAGTCCTAGGTGGTATTATTAGGGAGACCCTTAAAGGGGACCCTTCTGAACCCTGCTTGTGGCTCTCTTAAAAGGGACCGCAGGGATCCTAGCTCCCAGCAAGAAGAACATGCCCGAAGCACCAGGCACAGAACCGGGAAGCTGCTTGAGGTTGCTTTTTTTAAATTCGGATCCAAAGATACTGAGCCAGCGGTTCAATGTATTCGCAGTAAGTTTAGGCTTCGTATATATATGTATGTATATATATATATCTCTCTCTCTCTCTCTCTCTCTTTGTATGTATACAGATACACACGTATATCTTTTCTTTTTACGCGTCATGATCGCAAATCAGAAGTCTTACAAGTTTCCTTGGAGTTTATCGAACCCTAAGGCTAACAATCTAAACTGTGGAGCCTAAACCCAAAACCAGAACTCCTAAACCCTAAGTCCTAAACCATCCTCTACCCTATACCCGAAACCCTAAATCCTAAATCCTAAACACTATAAACCCTAAACCCTGAACCCGAAACCCTAAACCCCACACCCAGGATCACGAAGCAGTACGAAAACTTGGAGTCCTTTTGGGCATTGATGCCAGAGGAGACTCCGTCAGGGCTTATGGCTTGCTGTTTTATTGCCGTTTAGGGTTTAGGGTTCAGGGTTCAGGGTTTAGGGTTCAGGTTCAGGGTTTAGGATTTAGGTTTAGGGTTTAGGGTGTAGGGTGTAGGGTGTAGGGTTTATGGAGGGTTTAGGTTTTAGGGTTTAGGTTTAGGGTTTACGGCATATGAGTTCAGAACCCTGATCTTGCGACATCCCTTACGGTTCAGGGTTTAGAGTTTAGGGTTACGAATTTCAGAACTCAACTCTTGCAAAATCCCTCATTTTTACAGGAATATACCCCTAAGTTACAGTAGGACCCCTCATATGATTACCTGTATCCCCAAAGCCTACGCAACAGTAGGTTATGACCCCTTAATTTCAAGGTATAACCCCTAAAACAGTAGGTTTTTGGATACCCAGGTAAAGTATTCCGCAACTCAGGGCTTTTGGAAGATCTGGCATCAGGGCAGTCTTAGGTTCCTTAAAGGCAATAGTGTTTTTTAGAGAACTTCCTTTAAGGCTACTTAGAGTTCCGGGGGACTTAGTAAGTCGGTTATAAGGAGACATATAAGTACCCTAGATGGAGCTGCCCCCAATTATAACCCGACTTATAACCGACTTACGAAGTCCCCTGGGCCTCAAATGTTTTTTTGGAGGGTCTCGGGCTCCCGTAGACTCAATTAAAGACTGTAGCTCGGGTTTAGGGTTGAGGGATTTCGGTTTGGGGTTTAGGGTTTTAGGGACTCAGGGTGCAAGGATAGATTGCTGAGTTTTCCAATTTTCTGCGGTACCTTGTTAATTCCTACCTGCACGGCCTTTGCCTTCCGAACCCTGAACTCTGACCCCCGAGCCGGTATCAGGGTTTAGGGGTTTAGGATGGTTTTAGGATTTAGGGTTTTGGGGGTTTGGGGTTTAGGGTTTGGGATTTAGGGGTTTAGGATGGTTTTAGGGTCTGGGGCTTGGAGTTCCGGGGTCTAAGTGGCTTAGGGCCCAAGCCACAGGACCACTGGCATGAGGCCAAGACCAGATGGCTACTTGCCGGGCGGTTTGGAGTTTGGGGTTAGGGTTTGGTGATGCGACAGGTTGTGTATGTGTTTGCAAACGGTTCTTGAAGGGTTTAGGGTTTTATGTTGAGATTTCGAACTTTTGGGTTTGACCTGATAATCAGGGTGTGGCTTTTAGGGTCTTGACATGGATGCGGAAATCAACACTCGCAACGCTTTCCAAAGAGTCCTATGTACTGTTATGTGGAATACTTCCCTACATCATAGTAGCAATTCCTGATATAGATCCCCTACATTCTCCTGTTTAGGTACTTAGGAACCCTCAAAGGGACCCTAAACCCTAGACCCTTAAAGGAACCCTTAAGGAAACCCACAGTAGATACTTTGGACTCTTTGGATTCGAGACCTTTAATCCACAGCCTACAATGCCCTAACAGGCGCGAGTAAACCCACAAACCTTACACCCTCAAAAGGAGTCCTTAGACCTTAGAGGAATCTTGAAAGGAACCCTGAAAGGAGCCCTTAAAAGGAAACACCCTTAAAGGAACCCTATATAGAGGAATCCTTTAAAGGAACCCTTAGAGGAATCCTTTAAAGGAACCCTTAAACGAACCCTTAAAGGAATCCTTAAAGGAACCCTTAAAGGAACCCTTCAAAGCAACCCTTAAAGGAACCCTTAAAGGAACCCTAAGACCTGAACCCTAAACCCTAAACCCAGGCCCTAAACCCGTAGGAAACCCTTAAAGGAATCTTTAAAGGAACCCTAAACCCTTAACCCCAACCCATAGGAAACCCTTAAAGGAATCTTTAAAGGAACCCTAAGCCCTAAACCCCAACCCATAGGAAACCCTAAACCCTAAACTCTAAACCCTACACCCCAACCCATAGGAAACCCTTAAAGGAATCTTTAAAGGAACCCTAAGCCCTAAACCCTTAACCCTTAAAGGGATCTTTAAAGGAACCCTAAACCCTTAACCCTAAACCATAGGAAACCCCAGAGTCTTAGGGCAGAAGCCCAGGCTTTCTCGCAGCCTCGGGGTGCGAAAGTTCGTCTCGTCGCTTCTTTGCTGTGACCCCGAGCAGAGGCTTAGGGTTTAGGGTTTAGAAGTTTAGGGTTTAGGGTGTAGGGTTTAGGGTTTAGGGTTTAGGGGATTCAGGGGTTTAGGGTTTAGGGAATTTCGACGGATTTTTTGGTGAGTGTGGTAGGGATAGGGTTTGGGGTTGGGGTGTAGGGTTTGATAGGGTTAGGTTTAGGGCTTGATAGGGTTAGAGTTGAGGGTTTGGGGGGTTTAGGGTTTAAGTTTTGGGGCTAAGGGTTTAAGGGGTTTGGGGTTTAGGGCTGCAGGCTCTTTTGCTCGCGCTCCTTCAGGGGTTCCTGTTCCTTGGAGGGTTCGTTTATGGGTTCACGATTGTACCCAAGCCAAACCCCTAAACTCTTGACCTCGAAGCCTACACGGCTGACGGAAGCTACGACTTTTGCCGCAGCCGAACATGTCATAGCACCACAGTCGACACCCTGAACACTCTGACAAAAACAGGGAAGAGAGGGATTCATCCCCTGCCTGTTACTATTGATGGTGCCCGGATTTTGGATGTGGCCCCTGTTACCCTAAGGCTCCATGTACTTATATAGTATCTACTTGGGCTTCAAAGCACCTATAATGAGAACCCCTTTGAAGGCTTAGGTATATACTATATGGGCACATGGAGCCTTAGAGTTAGTTCGGCTCAGGGACTCGCGAGAATCGTTCGAGTTTTACGCCCTTGGCCTCCAACTCTGACGGACAAAATCCTCAGCCCTGCCTGATAACCGAAATTTTTCAGGGCCTTTACAAGGAAGTCATCATAGGGAACACCGAAAAACGAAGGTGCTGTGGGGTCCAGTTGAACTCTACATGCAAAACCGAAGTGGCTGACATGCAAAATCGAAGTGGCTGTTGCGAAGTTTAGTGAAGAGTTTCTACGAGAAGCTGGCAGCATGTTGCGGATTCGGGAACATCAAACAGGCTACATACCCAGATGTGAAGACGCTGATCCTGCGGTCAAGAACTGAGACCGGCGCCATTCGATGACTAATTACATCCAGTTACCCACGTTGCCTACCGTTGGCGGTTGAGTTGGTGTGTAAGCTGGCGCGCCTAAAGCGGATCATCCGATCCCAGGCAGACATATCCCGGATGCCTCAACTCTCAAACCTAAGCCCTAAGAGCCCTAGGCCATAAAGAACTCTGAATACCCCGAGGCCTAACATTTAAAATCTAAGAAAACGACCTTTGAAAGCAACAGTCAGCCCAAGCAACAGTCCCCCAAGCCTCCTAAACAAGTAGCTCCATTATCAAAGTGAGTATCAAAATATTTCACCAATACTAGTAACACAAGAACGAAGAATGCTTAGCTTACCTAGTAGCCTATTGCGAACTCTATAACGGTAACTTCATGTCTTCTGGAGGCCATAGACCCAACCATATACACCCCAAACATGAAAATCCAATCCTAAACTCCAAACCCTCTTATACCCGAAACCCATACACCCTGCACCCATATCGATCCCTTCAAGGACCCTTTTGAAAGGGAACCCTACTACTTCGTTATTGAATCCTTAGGGGAGCCTTACTAGTCCCTGAGAACCCTTAAATGAGCCCTACTAATCCCTTACAGAACCCTTAAAGGAGACCAACAAATCCCTGATAGAACCTATAAAGGAGACTTACTAATCCCTTACAGAACCCTTAAAGGAGACCTACCAATCCCCAACAGTTTTCTTAAAGGAGACCTACCAATCTCTTATAGAACCCTTAATGGAGACCTACTAATCTCTTACAGAACCCTTAAAGGAGGACCTACTAATCCCTCATAGAACTACAACTCCTCCATTCTTCGGGAGGCCCTCGGCCGTGGAGGCTTTGAGAAGCCCGTGGTTCGAGTTGACGACTGGCTGCAGGAACCAGACCTTCCAGAACCGTTTAATAAAGTTTAGGGATTTAGGGTTTAGAGTTTAGGATTTAGGGTTTAGGGATTTAGGGTTTATAGTTTGGGATTTAGGGTTTAGGGATTTAGGGTTTAGAGTTTAGGATTTAGGGTTTAGGACAAAAAAACCCTAACACTGAAGAAACTACCACGGTTCCTTGCAGGAGCGAAAGGGATCTATAAGGGCTCTATACGGGACTTCAGGAACCTACTTTAAATCATATTCGGGATCCGGTGGTTTAGGGTTTATAGGGTTTAGGGACCCGTTCAATTAAGGAATATGAGTTAAGTCTTGCGAGGACCCTTATTCAACTGTCAAGTATATGCTTCTTGATGATGGGATTTTGGAAGGTCTGGGAGTTTAGGGTCATAAGGCCGTCTAGGGTGGTCTACGTAGGGTTTAGGAGTTTAGGGGACTTAGGGGGTTTAGGAGCTCGTGTTTTTTTTTTGGATTTTGGTGGTTGTTGGGACTTGTTTGTTGGTTTGGAGATTAGGGTTTTTCGGGTCAGGGGATAAGGATGTTTGTTGTTGGGTGGCTTCGGGGAACCCTAAACCCCAATTGGTAACCCCAAACCCTAAACCCTAAGTAAAGTCCAGGGTTTATATAGGCATTTTAAGAATGAGCCCCTGGAATGATACAAGAAGTACATCCCTTAAGAACTGGTTTCCCGCAGAGTATCAGTAGCCCACTCAGGAAACTACCAGGGTTCCTTAAAGGAACCAAAGGGGTCTATAAGGGTTCTATAAAGGAATTAAAGAGCTGGGAGGGGTTTGGAGTTTAGGGGTTTGGGGTTCAGGGTTTGGGGTTTCGGCTTCGGGGTTCAAGGTATGCGTTTCAGCAAAAATGTTAGGGCTTAGGTTTTGGATGGTGTGTTGCGCTCTAGAGGGTACTCGTCGTGCTCGAACCTTGGTTTTGATTTTGAAGGGAACTGGGATACGATATGCAGGATCAGGCTTCGGGTTTCTGAGGCTAACGATAATAAAAGAGGGTTTAGGGTTTAGGGTTTCGGGTCTAGGATTTAGAGTTTCGGTGTAAGGTTTAGGGTTTAGGCCTAATCGTGGTTGATTTGCTAAAGCCTGATCCCTGCCAAGGTACAGACCTACCCGCGACGGGCTTACGCCGGAGTTGTTTCAGTCTCTTCTCGACTACGCAGAGGCGGCGCAGGGTTCAGGGTTTGGGGTGTAGACAGCAATGCATATGGAAAGCGCCGATCGATACCCTACACCCTGAACATCCCGGACCCAAAAGCCTAAACCCCTAATCCTTAAACCCTTATATACATTATAAAGCCTATGAAAGCCTAAGACACCTTAAACTAGACCGTAATCCCGAAACCCATTGCTGGATCTCCTGAGTCACTTTAGTCCTGTCGTTTTGAGATGAGACGAAGGGTTTAGGGTTTAGGGTTTAAGGGTTTATGGTTTACGGGTTTGGCGGTTTCGATCTCGACCCTTCAAGGGCCCCAACGCTGAGTTCGAAACCCTTAGCCCTGAACCACTTTTGAGACCCAAGGCTTTGACAAGTGCATCACAAAATCACTTTTGGGACTTGCACCGTCTACTCGGAGCATCAGGATATTTCAGAAGTAATGGCCGAATTGGCGTGGCCACATCTGACGGGGGGCTTTCTCAACATTAAAGGAATTATCCTACTCTCCGCATTGAGAAAAATGCAATCCACAGTAAGCTAATGGCAACAATGCTACATTCGCACTATCAGAGTCTCCGTACTTAAGCATAAAGACCCACTATGTCCGGAGGCTTGCACGCATGTCGGGATTCGAAGACACAAGGTTCATCGTCGCATGAATATACACAGGCGTATCCATACTTTGGGGTACCTTAGGTGGACCAGCTGTCGCCGAAGGACTTGACGATAAGAACATTTGATTCATTCAGCACACTTCGCGGCTTCTGGATGGCAAGGCGCTAAGCATGCCAAATCTTAAGCCCTGAACGCGAAAAGCTCCGAACAAAAAAGAAGAGAAGGCATCTCTAAACCCTACCTGGGCCCCATAAGACCTCAATCATTTCCCTATAATATAGGTCCTTAAAAAGGTAGGTTTAGGCTTTTTGGTGGGTTCAGGCTTAGTGTTTTGCTGTGTTAACGGGTTGCGGAATTTGACAGGATTCTTAGGGGGTCGTTGTGTGCTCATACAAGTTTTCGTTTAGGGTTTCGGGTTTAGGGTTGTAGCAGGGTATTTCTGGGGCCTGGGATTTTTCTCGCGGTATTTGGGTCGTTAGGCTTACCTTGGATGCACAAGCCTCAAACCCAGTGTGCCTTAAAAATCTCCAACTCAGAACCATAAGCATTGTTCCCAAAACCCAGCCTCATTCCCACTGCCCACACCCTACAATTCAACTGCCGCATCAGGAGACACATTTCGTGAAGGCCCACATGCCGTTACAAGCTGTCGAGAGGGTGGAGGGTTGGGGCTTTGTGTTTAATGGGTTCGGGGTTGTTGTGAAGCACTTCTGGTTCGGGGTCGAAGGTTCCAATGTTCGGCGAGCCCTAGCTGAGAGTCGAGTTGCTCCTCTGTGCATCGCAAGCAATGATGTTGCTCCGACCCATGGCCCTAGCCCAGTTGCATCCGAGCCGAGTGTGAAACTTGAAACCTATGTCAAGGTCTTAGTTGCCCAATGCCCACCCTTTAGACCTTTGTTTGGGTTCTTATAGTTTTTTAGTGGTAATCTTAAAGTTTAGCCTTTTGTTTTCCCTGGCTTATTGGGGAAGTAAGAGGTTCAGGGTGCAGGGCCTGGGGATTCGGGTACAAGGGTTCAGTTCATGGTTTCAGGATCTGGATTTCAGGGTTCCGGGTTTATGCAATACCCTAAGGGTCCAAAGGACCTATAATAATCATGTACTTGGGTTACGGATAGTAGTTTTGTAGGTTAGTTTCTGAAGAGTATATGATTTATTAGGTACTTGGACCCTAAGGGATTTGTTTGTTGGTACTTCGGGGTTGTAGGCATTGTGTTTCATTTTTGCGGGGGTCCATGTCTTCTTTTGCCGCAGCTTTCATATGTGTTTAGGTTTACCCTATCAGGGTCGATGTACTTAACAATCGTAGATAAATACTCTCGTTTTTTACACTAACCTACAAAACTACTATCCCACACGCAAGTAACTACTTGTTGCCTCCTTTGAGTCACGTTTCGTTTAAGTCCGGGTTTCGCATATTCGAACTTGGAGCTCTTCTGTCGTGTTGCGGGGGGGAAGGGGAAAAGAATCTCGGGCTTAGGGTTTAAGGTTTAGGGTTTAAAGTTAGGCTGGTTGGGTTTAGGGGTTAGGGTTTAGGGTTTGGGGTTTAGGGTTTAGGCTGGTTGGTTGGTTGGTTTGTTGGTTGGTGGGTTCAGGGTTTAGGGGGTGACGAGTTTAGGTTTTATAGGGGTTTAGTTAGGGCCTAGGGTTTCTGGGGTATGTCCACATATGGGTGCAACGGCCTAGCATTTTGAGATTAAGAGTACAACACGCCCGCAGCCCTCTGTGCCGGGAGGTTTATTGGCACAGTGATCTTTCCAACGGAGACTGTGTGCGTGCCAGTATGCCACCCCCCTGCATGGCGACCACCAACCCGTGTCGCAGCCCTATAAACCCTAAACCCTAAACCCTAAACCTCAAACCTTAAAACTTATAACCCTTATAAACCCTATAAACCCCAAAACCCTGAACCCTAACCCTTAAACCCTAAACCTTAAACCCTAAACCCGAAACCCTATAAACCCTAAACCCTTAAAGCCTTTTCGGTGACTCTACGGCCGAGACCTGGCCTTTCTTGCCTCTTTAGACCGCCTTTAGACCGCTCACATTTTCGATGAAAATCGTGGGCGTGTGACTTCTGCGTGTACCGTTCCCTAAACCTCCAGGTACCTACTATAGAGGGTACTAGAGTCCCTATAGGCCCTATATAGTAGGTACCTGGAGGGTTTGGGGTTTGCATGCCGGACGAATTTGTGGCGCGCTGATCAAGCCCATGCAAACGCCAACAACCCCAAACCCCAAAACCTTAAACCCTAAACCCTAACACCGTATAGTCTTCCAACCCCAAACTCTGATAAACCCTGAGCCCTGAAACCCTGAACTCCGCTAAACCCTAGTGTAGGAACCTGATTAAGAAACCCTGGTACTAGAACCCCAAAATAGTAGGACTCATATCAGGAACCCCAATAAAGATCCCAGGTTTCTTAATCCTGTTCCCACATTATACCGTCGTGCTGAGCGCAGGTTTGCTTGCTGCTTATCGCTGCCCGTCTGGGAAGCGTGACTTTGCTGCAGGGACTTTGGGTGTAGGGTTTAGGGTAGCCTGAAACCCTGCATGGACCCTAAACGTGCACTTTTGCCGGGGATCCTCATTTTTCCTTATTTTTTATATAGCTCCTTGAACTTAGGGTGGGTTTAGGGCTCAGGATTTAGAGTCTCGAGGTTCAGGGGCCACGGATACCCGAGGAGCCCAGCAACGATTTACCGGGCTATGGGCAGTATATGATCTATATGGGGTCTATAGGGAACAGTACTCCACCCCTATACCTTCATGTTGGCAACAATAAAATGCTGGCCCTGCACCTTACCTGCACCCTAAGAACACGTACTTGGCACCCTAAAAACACGTACTTGATGACATGGACAAGGGCATCATGGTAACGAGCCCGAAAAGGTAGGCGATTTAGGGTTCAACTCGCCCCAAGAGTCTCAAGCCTTTCACTACCTACTTCCAACATGTGTCTGCGTGTGGACCTTGAGTCCTAAAGCTTAAACACCTCCACTCGTCAATGCTTAACCCAGATCCCGTAGACTTCAACTACTTTACATAGATCTATACCCGAAAGCAAACCCTACAACCCCATAGTAAATGTAGAAGCCTGAGAAATTGCCAGCATTGTGTTCCCTCGGGTTCTCAAATACAAGTAGACCACACTATATCCCAACACCCCTTTGCTGTTTATTCAGGCCCTAGTGTTGATGCCCTTTAAAGCCCTAAACCCTAAATCCTAAACCCCCTAAAGCCCCGTAGATCCCCTTGGACAGGAAAGCCTCGAGCCTTATCGCGCTGCTTTCCTGGGCATCGACACGGACGGGCTTTTGGATTCGGTTCTTCGGCTAGGCCTCAGAGGCTTCAGGGCTTTTGGGTGTAGTTGTTTGAGCTTTAAGGAGTAAGTGTGCGGGTTTTTAGGCTTTCGTGTTGGGACTGCCGGAGCTCGCGCTTAGAGCTTTTATTTTTGGGTGTAAGAGGCACCGACACCGACAAAAGATCTGGGGTTTCGAGTTTACGGTTTAGGGTTGAGCCGCAGACATGCTGGACGACCCTCCGGAAGCAGATCGCTTCCATGCGCAGAGACAACCTCACAGCAGAGTCGCAGTATTGACGACCTGCAAGTCCGAGAACCATCTGCCAGCAACGAGACTCGCACACTCTGGTTTAGGGTTTAGGATTTAGGGTTTAGGGTTTAGGGTTTGCTTTACGGTTTAGGGTTTAGGGTTTTTGTTCGCGGCAAGGCCTGCATAACAGGCCGATTCTGGTGCGGCCACGCGCCTCCTCCCACATGGGCCCCTGCTGTCGGTGGCGCCGTTCTTCGTGCCCAGAGTCCCACTTAACTCCCCCTAGTAAACTTATAGTCCACGCACAGTGGCTCACTATAGTTTGGGGTTTAGGGCCTATAGGGTATCGCTCATCGGGAAAACTTGCCATATGACTCTCTGTGACTTAGCCGACTCTGGGGCCAGGGTTCGTATAATACCTAGACCCTTAAATGCAGTACTTTTTGTTGGATGACCTTTTTTTTGTGGTTAGGATCCTATAACAAGACACTTATGATAGCCCACGAAAAGGTACTACATTGAAGGATCTAGGTAGGGTCCAAAAACTTAAGCTTTTCGAAAGGGCTCTAGGAGCCGTGACGTGCTGGTGTTCGGAGTCCCTAAACCCTAACCATAAACCCTAAACCCTTAGATTGTCCGGGGGAGCCGGCTTCGGGCAGCGAGGTTTCAGGGCTTGGTAGAGCCATTTGGAGGCAATGCCACTCGTGCTCTTCCAGGGGCAAACGCAGGGTATATCCATGCGATAGTATCTGTTTTTTTTCAGAACTCGATGCTTGGCCTAGAAGCCTAAAGCCCTAAATCCTAAAACCCAAAAACCTCCAAACCCTCAAGAGAGGCTCTGGGTTGAGAGCTTTTGAGGCTTTCAGGGTTCATGGTTGAAGGTTTCGGGCTCCAACTCCTAAAGTTGACTTAGAGGTTCAGGGGACCTCGCAAGTCGCTCCTAAGTAGAGTTACAAGTATCCTAACCCCAAGGGGATCTAGAGGGGTCCCTTTAAGGCTTCCGTCTAGGGATCTATAGGGGTGCTATTATCCGCTGATTACTTCCTACTTAAGGCCCTGAGGACTTAGTAACTAGGTTATAAAAGTAGAGATAGAAAGCACCTTAAATGGAGTTTCTCCAATGCCCCAATGATATCACCGGCAAAAACCGACTTACTAATTCCCCTGCGCCTCCGCCTGCAAGGACGGTCTCTAACTCTAAGTCCTAAACCCTAAACTTAAACCCTAAACCCTAAACCCTAAACCCTAAAACCCTAAACCCAAAAACCCTAAACCCTAAACCCTAAGCCTAAGTAAAGCCGTAAGAACCCCGACCCTCCCCCGCCTCGAAGGCCCGAGCTACAGTCGCTAGGGTACCTCGTAATTAGGTCCGGTGGTTCAGGATGGTAGGTTACATGATGCTACATGGGTAGTTCTCTAAACTGATGTCCCTTTAGGGTCCTCTTTATAAGGGTGCCGTACTATATTGGGGACCTAAACCGGGACCCTAATTTAGAGAACTACCCACATGGAGTTTATGGGCAAGTAGATTGCAGAGTATGAAGCTTGGGTCCCTGGCCCTGGGCTATCCGGCTCAAATTTAGTGTCAGGGTGATCCTGCTTGCAACTGTGACATGTGACCTACATGTCGAGCCCCTTATCCTCCGAGTCGGAGCTAGTTCTCCAACACACGGATACCGAAGGGTCCGAAGTATCTAATGTAGTAGAATGTAGGGTTTCTATAATAGGAATCATTCTTATGACTTGGGAAGGTATCTCCCATAACAGTACCTAGGACCCTGTGGGCAGGTAGGCAAGCAAATGAACAACTAGCGAACCCGTGCTTAGTAGAACAAAATGTTGTGGCTGGCTGGGGCTTGAATATATCTTCCAGGAGGGGAACGGCAGCCTTTCGCGTGCCGAGCCTTTTTGGTGGCATCAGATTTAGTGTCTAATGTAGGGCCTTAATAATTAGAATATGGCTTTGGGGGCTCCTTATTATAACTATAGTATAATATACCCCAAACCCTTTCTAATTATTAAGGCCCCTATATTAGGGTTTAGGGGGTTTACAGAGGACTCGATTAGACTTCTGGTGCTATCCCACTAGAGTAGAACCTATGTACCTGGTGTTCGGTATTATGCAGATGGAGCCTACTTGTTCCACGGTGTGACGACAACAATCCCTAAGTCACTAAGCCCTGAGCTATCTACCCAAAAGCCCAAACCCTTGGGTCTATAGAAACTGTTAAGGGTTTGGGTGCCAATAACGTATTGACCGTAAGTTTTGAGCGAAAGTCTTGGGCGAAACGTTTTGGCCGTATGTTTTGATAAGTTTTCTGATTAAAACCTGTTTTTGGATTTGTTGGGGCTCGGCTGCGGGGCTGGGCTGGGCTGGCTGGGCTGGCCGGGCTGGCTGGGCTGGGGGCTGAGCTGGGGGTGGGCTGTTGGCTGAGTGGGGCTGGGCTGGGCGGCCTAGGCTGGGCTGGGGCTGTTATCGAAACTGAACCCGAAACTTAAACCCTGAGGTAGTTTTCATCATTTACCCCCAATGTTGAAGCACTTTTTCAAATTATCTGGACCAGTGTTGAGACATGTTTCAAACATCTGGACCAGCGTTGAGGCATTTTTCAGACATCAGAACAAGTGTTGAGGCACTTTGTCAAGCATGTGGACCGGTGTTGAGACACTTTTCAAGCATCCGGACCAGTGTTGAGGCACTTGTTCAACCAGGTAATTCCCAATGATGAGGCACTTTTTCAAGCATCTGGACCAGCGTTGAGCCTTTCAAACATCAGGATCATTCTTGAGGCATTGTTGCAAACATCTGGACCGGTGTTGAGACACTTTTCAATCATCCGGACCAATTAGGCTGCTGACTGACCTTAAATGCAAAGTCGATGGATCGAATTTCACCGCACCGCTCGGTAGTTTGGAGTCTTAGGGGGATGTCGTTCGAAACTTGAGTCATGACACATTACATGTTGCTGACTGACCATGGTTCGAGACTGAAGTCATGACACCTATCGGTTTATGTCGGCGTGCGCTTAGATGCAGAGTTTGGATCGAGTTTCACCATACAGCTCGGTAGTTTGAAATCTTAGGGGGGGTATCGTTCGAGGTTCAAGTCACGACATACTTTAGGCTGCTGACTGACCTAAATGCAAAGTCGATGGATCGAATTTCACGGGAGTATGGGTGCCAATAACGTTTTGCCCGTAAGTTTTGACCGAAACGTTTTGACCGTAGCAAAACATGCCCTCTTTGCAGCTCCTTTTTGCATCTCGTTGCTATCGTCTTAGTATGTTGACAACAACATCATCATCATCGTCAACAACATCAGCATCAACAGCAACAACTCTGGTTAGCCACAAGCCGAGATATAACGAATATTGCAAGTCAAACGTAAGCCCTAAACCCCTAAAGCGCCTAAACCCCGAATCCGAATCCCCTATGTAAACCCTACCCCCAAAACCCTAAACCCTAAACCCTAACCCTACAACGAATCCCTCAGCTACCTCAAGGTTCTTCGAGGCTGTGCAGAACCTTCAGGACACTGCCGCGAGTTCTGATATCCGTCAGGTTCGCAGTATTCGCTGCGAGCCTTATAAGCCCATTTACCTATGTAATGGTGGTTTACAGTTCCCCTAAACCCTAAACCCCTAAACCCTAAGCCCTTCTGTTAAAAAACATATTACAGTACCCATAAAGCGAGCAACCGACTATTTGCGCCATTGGGGCCTTCGAGGGATGGGTGTACGTGTTTGGCGAGGTGGGAGTCCCTGATGCGTCTGGCAGGGTCCCTTTCGAGTCCTTTTTTTGTATAAGGGTGCCGTCCTTGTTGCGTTGTTTTTGGGATTTAAACAGGGAATAGAATGTCGAGAACTACCCACATAATCGACGCCGCGTTCTACTTGCAGTTCTCTGTTCCCTACCCATCACCCACGGCTGCCCTCAATTGCCCGAGTGGACTGCTAGGTTTCCATGCTCCATACATATCAATCCATTCGTTCGTTCCTTCAGTCGGTTGCTCATTATTTCATTCATTCATGCCTTCCTTCATTCATTCACTAGTTACTTAATAAGTCATTGTTTCATGCATTCGTTCCTTGGTGTTTTTGCTTCGTTCGTTCTTTCGTTTTGTTCATGTCGTTCCTTATCACGTGCATATATATATATAGAGTGTATACTCTGTATAGACATGCATAATTATGTATATTTAAGTCTATGTTCCACACACATACTTACGGCTCGTTGCTTGGAACGGAGTACTGGACTTTTCGGAAGAGTTGAGAAGCGCAATGCTACAATGTGCCAATACATCTGAAGATCCCGGCACTAATGTGGCTAATGCACGAGGCAGGGGGCTTCATGATGCCTCACCCTATCCATGACCCTAAGGGTCCATGTGCTCGTTATTGTATGACTTTGGGGCTTTTGGGGGGACCAAGAATAAGGACTACTTGGACCCTGAGGGTCATGGATGGGCACCTTGCGACGAAGTGGAGTCATGGTCTTGGAATGCGTCGATAGATATAGAGACTGTCAGAGTCTCACAGAAAGCAACAAGCCCCAATGTGACTCCTGAGCTCAATTCAGAGCTTGTGTTGACATACTTCAACCCAACATCCGGAAAGCTTGATCCAATTATGCTGAACGCTAAACTGTAAGCTCGAAACCGTTAACTCCTAAGCCCTAAACCTCACCCGTAGCGCAATCCCAAGCCAAAGGCATCTTCTACAACCCTTACAGAGCCCCTCAACGGACCCTATAAGGAGCCCACTGCATCAGGACAAAACCCTTAAATACCCTAAATCCCCAGAACCCAAAACCCCCAAAAACCCTAAACCCTGAACCCCTAAATCCTAAACCGACCTCTTTCAGCCCGGAAGGACTGCGACTCCTGTTGCCCTCTGAGCCGTCGGAAGGTGTCCAAGTGGTTCGAGCACCTCGGAGAGAAGGGGCTCAGCTCGTTTTGGGTTCATAGTTTAGGGTTTGGGGTTTGGGGTTTAGGGGTTAGGGTTTTTGGGGGTTTTGGGTTTTGGGTTTAGGGTTTTAGGGCTTAGGGTTTAGGGTTTAGGGTTTGGGGTTTAGGGGTTAGGGTGCGTCGGGCGAGGGCGCGCGTTGCCAGTAAACCCACCCCGGCCACCCAAACTACACTCTATGAGGGTTTAGGTATAGCCGAAAAGCCGAGTATAGAGTATAGAGTTTATCGGGGGTTTTCGGGTTTGTAGGACTTGTAGCTGAGTATAGAGTTTGCGGGCATCTAAGGCTTATGGAGTTTGTCTAAGGCTTTATACTTCTTGGTTTCTTTCAGGCATACAGTACAGGGTACGGGGCCTTATACGGGCCAATTCAGGGCTTTGTTCATAGAAAACTCCTCGGGCACCCGCACGTCAAGAAGGACCCCCGAAGCTCCAGACATTTTAAGGTGTAGGGTTTAGCGAGTTGAGGGTTTAAGGCTTCTGCATCAGCAACCGTCATTGGATGTGATGTTAGCGTTTCAAGGTCTACCCTAAACCTTGGGCTTTGAATCCCAGAATTATACATCCCTGTCCTGGACTGCACAGACAGGCAGTGCGATCTGAACAAGAACGGCCGCCTGGAGTACAGAGTCTTGGCAACCTGGGGGTTTATAGGAATGTATATAATTTGGGGGGAGTCATTGTGGTTTTGTGTGATTTTAAGGAAAATTTGGGCATTTTCCTGAAGTAGATGCGTGCAAGTCTTGGGCTACGTTATGTTTGCTATACCCATCACTCCAGAAGGGGCCTGTGGGTTTTAGTTTCAGACCGTGGAGTTTTGGTTGGAAATTATTGGATCCGCAAATAAGGTCGAGGGCTCAAGCTTTGGGGTTTGGGGTTGCCTGACCTGGGTGTCATGGTGTCATGGAAGAGCTTGGGTGATTTCTATTGGTCATCAGGAATAGTCTTCCCCGATAGTCCTGGTATCACCGTGGTCTAAGATACCCCAAGTCCTGGAAGCCCAGTGGATGTAGCAAGTCGGTTCTAAGTAGGGTTATAATTCGGGTAACTCCACTTAGGGTACTTTTATATACTTCAAGTCACAATGTTTCGGGTTTAGGGGGTTTAGGGGTTTTAGAACATGTAAACTCAGCCAGAAGTTGTGAAAATGCAAGCATTAAAATCCAAAACACTGGGAGCGGAAGGGCCCAAATATTCAGAGGCTCGAACATTCCTCAACAATATTGTTTCAAAACACATATACACCTTTCATTTTATGGGGAAACACCCTAAACCCTACTAAACTCCTTGGGCTGGTGATGTTCTCTGCAGAACCTCTTAAATGCCATTTATATGTTGGAAATGTTGCCGGCCCGCCGAGGCGGACAAATATGATATGCAGTGGCTGACCTAAACCATAAACATTTAAATCCTATAACCTAGACCCGTGACCCGTAGGATACAGAGCGACTGAGGTGAGTTCCTGGCCGCCTGCCTCCACGCACAACTGCACGCGTTGGAGAGTCCGGATGATCTTCACGGCGAGGCCGGACTGTAAGGGGTGCAGGGTATAGGGTGTGCCAAACGATTGCGCGCTTTGTGGGCGCGCGTCAGCCTGCAGGCTCACCCACCCCAACGCCACCCGCTTACAACTCTCAGGGCATACGGGCATACGGCTTTATATGTTTCTTCGCCCAAGTAAGGCGAGAATACATGCACGACTGAAAGTGTGTGAATTCGGCGCCGGATCTTCGTCATGTTGTTACTGTTTCTCGTGAAGGCTGCCTTGTGGCAAAGCCTGGCCAGGCCAGCTAGGAGTTGCCGCAGCAACAAAGGGATCTCGGACCAGAAGGTGGGCAGAGCCCCAGCAGGGGCGATCAGCCCTTGCCCAGTACGAAGGGTTGCGCAGAGCGCCAGCAGGGGCGGCAGCCCGGGTTGTGGCACAGTCAGGAGCGGCCAGCCAAGGCCCCAGCGCCCCGTGCAGGCCCCAACCGGCAAAAAAACAGTTTGGGCCTGCGTTGTGCCTTTTAGGGTTCTAATGTACACCGGAAGGATCTAAAAAATAGATCACCTAAGGGAGTTCCTTTAAAGTACCCCTAGTAGTATAAGGTCCCAAATTAGGGGATCTACTTTTTAGATCCTTTCCGGTGGTCTGGGAGGCTGACTCGGCCTAAGCGTGCCAGGCACGCCTGCAGGCCGGCTCGGTCGCCCGCCTGCGGTTTTTCCCATGGTGTCGCTGATCGCTCCTACCCCAAAAAGACGAGAGTGGGGTGGCGGGCGGCTTTACGGACGTGGCGATTGAAGCGGATTAAAGAAGGACAGTAAAATTAAGAACTCTACCTGACATTGAAGCGGATCCTCATATGAATGGGATTTCAAGACCTAAGTAGTTAGGAAACATAGCAAACTTTTTACCCCAAAACTCCAGATTTCTCCCTCCAACAGCTATTGAGGTCCCTGTACTAACGCCTGTATGCAAATCTTACTGTAGAACCGTAACCGAATTTTCGATTTTTAGACTTGTAGAGCCCTCTCCAAACCCTTACACAAACCCTCATACAAAAGAACCCTTATGGGGCCCTGAATAGAACCCTTCAAGAAACCCAAAGAAAGCCCACAAAAGATGCACTTAGCGGCCCAGGGCACCTTGTAAACCGGTTCAAGCAGAGTTGTTTGTACTCTAAATGGAGCTACCCCCAATTATGACCTTACTTATTGCCGACTTACTGTACTAAGTCCCCTGGGCCTGCAAATAAGTAAGTAAATAAATGAATTAAAATGAATAAACAAAAAAAAATATATATATGTGTGTGTACATGGACCCTTAAACCCCTTATCGAACCCTTGTAGGACTAGACCCTAAACCCTAAGCCCGAAACCCTTAAAGAAATCGTTTTGGAACCCTTATAGAAAGTTTTAACCGGATCCTCTAAACTCTATAAGCCCGGAACCCTAAGAAACCCTTTTAAGGAAACCCTCTAAGTACCCGGAGGCGCTCTCGAACCGCGCATTTTCCGCCTTGGACTCCGACGGCGATGGCCGTGCCACCCGAGGAGCTCCGTAGGGTCCTAGGTACCGTTATAGGCTCCTTTAAGGGAGCTTTAGGGGTCCCTTTGTGGGCTCCTTTAAGGGATCAGCAGGGGTTCTTTTATGGATTCCTGAAAACTTTTTTGGGTTCCTTTAAGGGATCTATAGGTCACTGTAAGGTTCCTGTAAGGGATCTATATGGGTTCCTTTAGGGGGTCGATAGGGGTCCTTTTGAAGATTCCTTTAAGGGATCTAAAGGGGTATTATTTGGGGCATATTTTCCCTAAATCATTCTACTTTGACCCCGTTGGGCTTGAGCTACCAAAACCTACTTTCTTTTGGGGTTTAGGATTTAGGGGTTTAGGGTTTGGTTTCAGCCTGGTTATCGCTGCCCGTTTGCGTGGCGCGCCTGGGACTTAGCAAGGGTAAGCCCAACATGCACGCTACTTAAAGTCTCCATTGTAGTTCCTTTTTTCGGTCAATAAAACCTATCTTGTCTTTAGGATCCTAGTTATACTTATATGTAACCCCAAAACAGCTCTACTATGGAGACTATGGGTAAACCTACAACTTTGTCGGGGCCCATTTTGATTTCCTTTTGCAATTTCTGAAAATTTGGTTAGGTTCTTTGTTTTTGAGAGGGGGGTTAAGGCGAACCCAAACGCGAACCTGGGGGATGCAGCTATTTTCAGGTGAAGATCTACCTTAGCCTACCAAAACCTACATATTTTTGACGGGGGGCTCTATAAATTCTATATTGGGGTGTATAGAAGAACTTACAAAGACGCAGGTCATGGTAGCTCAAGGTCGGGCTTGTACTGTGCAGGGTTTTGGGGCTGCGGCTTAAGAGTTTAAGGTTTAGGCTTCGCGGCTTGGGGTTTGAGAGTTTCGGGCCGAGGGTCTACGGTTTACATAAAGCTGAGAGTTTGCTGCCGCCTTTATTGCTATGGCCTAGGACTCTCGGCTGGGGATTTTGACGTCCTGACAACCATCCGTGTTCTAAGTCGCATGTTCAATTGCCCGTTCATACATCAAGAAATATAGGTGGAATCAGAAGCTGTACAGCTATGTATGTATGTATGTACGTACGTATGTACGTATGTATGTACATATATATATATACATATGTACGTACGTATGTATGTATATATGTACATACACACATATCTACGTTAGGGCCAAACTATATTCCTATTCCTACCCTGGGGTCTACAGTCTACAAAGTAGGACTTACTTCAGGCTGCTTGCAAGGTGGGGGTATGCATATAGATCAAAAAGGTATTTTGGTGGGATTTGCACAAGCGGCCCAGGAGACATCCTGCGCTTCTTTCACACGGACGGTAGGGTTTAGGGCTTAGGGTTGAGAGTTGAGGGTTTAGAGTCTGGCATTTCGGATTTTACCTACAGCCTGTTTCTGTTTTAGTGTCCTCGTTGGCCGACTTGTTTTTCGGTCGGGATAGAGAGAGGATGCCTCTTATTGCGGGACCTTTTGGAGGTTCAGTGGGTCCTCAGCGACGATGCACCTGTTTTGGGTCTTGAGGACGGTTTAGGGTTTAGGGTCTAGCCCGAAAACCAACCCAAGCCTAAACCCGAAGCCCGAAAGTCTTAAGCTCTTATACCAGAAGCTTGAACCAAAAATCCTCTTCCCTAAACCGAAAGTCCTAATACCTAAGACCCTTGACCCGTAAACCTTAAATCCAGAACCCTCAACTCTGAAATCGAAAACCTAGAACACCAAAAACCAACAGCCTAAACTTTAGACTTTAGACTCTAGACTCTAAACCCTAAGCCCTTATAGATACAAAACCCTAAACTTTAAACCGTATGCCACTAAACCCTCAAAACGCCAACACCCACAATCCAAAACCCTAAATCCTATAAGTCTAAAAGCCCTAAAGCCTCAGATCCCGCACAGAGGAACCTCTAAAACCCGAAACCCTCAGATCCAAAACCTATATTTTCCTAACACTTTACAACCTAAAGCCTCAGATCAGCTGCCTAAACGCTAGGAGCGTTTAGGGCTAAAACCGAAACCCCAAAGACCCAGAAACCCAGAACATGAAACTGTACACCCAAAACCCTCACATCCCCCTAAACCCTAAACCCTAAACCCTAAACCAAAACCTGCCAGGACCTGGTCATCAAGGGACTCCCTGAAAAGGCGCCGTTCGACGCCCCCGGTCTTAAGACCATGGGTTTAGCGGCTTACCAGGACCCCCCGAAGACCTTCAATTGGTTGTCACTTCTGCTTGATGTATGATTGTGCTCA